ACACTGGTCTGTAGTTTAGTGCTTCATGTCTGTCTCCTTTTTTAAAGATTGGGACTATATTTGCTGTCATCCATGCCTCAGGCAATCTCCCTGTTTCGATAGATGTATTGAATATTGTTGTTAGGGGTACACATAGCGCCTCTGCTCCCTCTCTCAGGACCCATGGAGAGATGTTATCCGGCCCCATTGCCTTTGAGGTATCTAGCTCACTCAGAAGCCTCTTCACTTCTTCATCGGTTGTGTGTACTGTGTCCAGCACTTGGTTTGTCTGGAGTTTTACCTGGAGAGAGTTCCTGGGGTCAACGCCCCCGCGGCCCGGTCTGTGACCAGGCCTCCTGGTGGATCAGAGCCTGATCAACCAGGCTGTTACTGCTGGCTGCACGCAAACCAACGTACGAGCCACAGCCTGGCTGATCAGGAACCGACTTTAGGTGCTTGTCCAGTGCCAGCTTGAAGACTGCCAGGGGTCTGTTGGTAATCCCCCTTATGTATGCTGGGAGGCAGTTGAACAGTCTCGGGCCCCTGACACTTATTGTATGGTCTCTTAACGTGCTAGTGACACCCCTGCTTTTCATTGGGGGGATGTTGCATCGTCGGCCAAGTCTTTTGCTTTCGTAGTGAGTGATTTTCGTGTGCAAGTTCGGTACTAGTCCCTCTAGGATTTTCCAGGTGTATATAATCATGTATCTCTCCCGCCTGCGTTCCAGGGAATACAGGTTCAGGAACCTCAAGCGCTCCCAGTAATTGAGGTGTTTTATCTCCGTTATGCGTGCTGTGAAGGTTCTCTGTACATTTTCTAGGTCAGCAATTTCACCTGCCTTGAAAGGTGCTGTTAGTGTGCAGCAATATTCCAGCCTAGATAGAACAAGTGACCTGAAGAGTGTCATCATGGGCTTGGCATCCCTCGTTTTGAAGGTTCTCATTATCCATCCTGTCATTTTTCTAGCAGATGCGATCGATACAATGTTATGGTCCTTGAAGGTGAGATCCTCCGACATGATCACTCCCAGGTCTTTGACGTTGGTGTTTCGCTCTATTTTGTGGCCAGAATTTGTTTTGTACTCTGATGAAGATTTAATTTCCTCATGTTTACCATATCTGAGTAATTGAAATTTCTCATCGTTGAACTTCATATTGTTTTCTGCAGCCCACTGAAAGATTTGGTTGATGTCCGCCTGGAGCCTTGCAGTGTCTGCAATGGAAGACACTGTCATGCAGATTCGGGTGTCATCTGCAAAGGAAGACACGGTGCTGTGGCTGACATCCTTGTCTATGTCAGATATGAGGATGAGGAAGAAGATGGGAGCGAGTACTGTGCCTTGTGGAACAGAGCTTTTCACCGTGCCTGCCTCGGACTTTACTCTCTTGACTACTACTCTCTGTGTTCTGTTAGTGAGGAAATTATAGATCCATCGACCGACTTTTCCTGTTATTCCTTTAGCACGCATTTTGTGCGTTATTACGCCATGGTCACACTTGTCGAAGGCTTTTGCAAAGTCTGTATATATTACATCTGCATTCTTTTTGTCTTCTAGTGCATCTAGGACCTTGTCGTAGTGATCCAATAGTTGAGACAGACAGGAGCGACCTGTTCTAAACCCATGTTGCCCTGGGTTGTGTAACTGATGGGTTTCTAGATGGGTGGTGATCTTGCTTCTTAGGACCCTTTCAAAGATTTTTATGATATGGGATGTTAGTGCTATTGGTCTGTAGTTCTTTGCTGTTGCTTTACTGCCCCCTTTGTGGAGTGGGGCTATGTCTATTGTTTTTAGTAACTGGTGGTGCACCCCTCCTCTCCTTCTTTCTGGAGCCCCTTCTGTCTCCTCTGTGAACACTTCTCTGAATCTCTTGATGTGTTCCTCACATACTTCACGGTCATTTCTTGTTGTCTCTCCTCCTTCCTTCATTAGCCTGATTACCTGATCCTTGACTGTTGTTTTCCTCCTGATGTGGCTGTATAACAGCTTCGGGTCAGATTTGGCTTTCACTGCTATGTCGTTTTCATATTGTCGTTGGGCCTCCCTTCTTATCTGTGCATATTCGTTTCTGGCTCTACGACTACTCTCCTTATTCTCCTGTGTGTGTGTGTGTGTGTGTGTGTGTGTGTGTGTGTGTGTGTGTGTGTGTGTGTGTGTGTGTGTGTGTGTGTGTGTGATTGTGTGAGTGATTGTGTGTGTGTGTGTACTCACCTAATTGTGGTTGCAAGGGTCGAGACTCAGCTCCTGGCCCCGCCTCTTCACTGATTGCTACTAGGTCCTCTCTCTCTCTGCTTCCTGAGCTTTATCATACCTCTTCTTAAAACTATGTATGGTTCCTGCCTCCACTACTTCACTTGCTAGGCTATTCCACTTCCTGACGACTCTATGACTGAAGAAATACTTCCTAACGTCCCTGTGACTCGTCTGAGTCTTCAGCTTCCAGTTGTGACCCCTTGTTCCTGTGTCCCCTCTCTGGAACATCCTATCTCTGTCCACCTTATCTATTCTCCGCAGTATCTTGTATGTCGTTATCATGTCTCCCCTTACCCTTCTGTCCTCCAGTGTCGTCAGTCCGATTTCCCTCAACCTTTCCTCGTACGACATTCCCCTGAGCTCTGGGACTAGCCTTGTTGCAAACCTTTGTACTTTCTCTAACTTCTTGACGTGCTTGACCAGGCGTGGGTTCCAGACTGGTGCTGCATACTCCAGTATGGGCCTAACATACGCAGTGTACAGTGTCTTGAACGATTCCTTATTAAGGTATCGGAGCGCTATTCTCAGGTTTGCCAGGCGCCCGTATGCTGCAGTAGTTATTTGGTTGATGTGTGCCTCCGGTGACGTGCTCGGTGTTGTGTGTGTGTGTGTGTGTGTGTGTGTGTGTGTGTGTGTTCACCTATTTGTACTCACCTATTTGTGGTTGCAGGGGTCAATTCATAGCTCCTGGCCCCGCTTCTCCACTGATCGCTACTGGGTCCTCTCTCTCCCTGCTCCTTGAGCGTTATCGTACCTCGTCTTAAAATTACGTATGGTTCCTGCCTCCACTACATCACTTGCCAGACTGTTTCACTTCCTGACAACTCTGTGACTAAAGAAATACTTCCTAACATCCTTTTGACTCATCTGAGTCTTCAACTTCCAATTGTGTCCCCTTGTTTCTGTGTCTCATCTCTGGAACATCCTGTTTCTGTCCATCTTGTCACTTCCTCGCAATATTTTGTGTGTCGTTTTCATGTCTCCCCTAACCCTCCTGTTCTCCAGTGTCCTCAGGCTGATTTTCCTTAACCTTTCTTCGTAGGACATTCCCCTTAGCTCCGGGACTAGTCTTGTTGCAAATCTTTGCAGTTTCTCTAATTTCTTGACGTGCTTGACAAGGTGTGGATTCCAAACTGGTGCTGCATACTCCAGTATGGGCCTGACGTAAATGGTGTACAGAGTCTTGAACGATTCCTTACTGAGGTATCGGAACGCTATCCTTGGGTTTGCCAGACGCCCGTACGCTGCAGCAGATATCTGATTGATGTACGCCTCAGGAGATGTACTCGGTGTTATACTCACCCCAAGATTTGTTTCCTTGAGTGAGGTTTGCAATCTTTGGCCACCTAGACTATACTGTGTCTGCGGGCTGTGTGTGTGTGTGTGTGTGTGTGTGTGTGTGTGTGTGTGTGTGTGTGTGTGTGTGTGTGTGTGTGTGTGTGTGTGTGTGTGTGTGTGTGTGGTTGTGTGTGGAAGTACAGTGACTATTGATAATCAGCAGGTGCGGTTTTCAGTGCTATATGCTGCCGTAAGCGTCCTCTGATATGTTGGCAGTCTTCACTCAGTGATTAGTTAGTTACTGTTAGAACATATGAACATAATAATGGAGGAACACTGCAGCAGGCAGGTAGCGGTCTCTAGCAGTTAGTGAGCTGAAGATCGCTTCTCCACTACTCCTTGCGCAAGAATGGTATATAATACCGACAAGATGAAATTAAGACACATGTGCAACATCTGGATATCTTTATTGTAGACGTTTCGCCATCCAGTGGCTTTATCAATACAAATTCTAGGACATAACTTGAAGAAAGTAGAACTATGTACAGAAGATGAGGTAATCAGTCCCTCAACCTTGGAGTAGGTGCGAAGAGCACCATAGTCTTGGAGATATTGAAGCCAGGCTCCTTGCTTCTGCTTCAATATCTCCAAGACTATGGTGCTCTTCGCACCTACTCCAAGGTTGAGGGACTGATTACCTCATCTTCTGTACATAGTTCTACTTTCTTCAAGTTATGTCCTAGAATTTGTATTGATAAAGCCACTGGATGGCGAAACGTCTACAATAAAGATACCCAGATGTTGCACATGTCTTAATTTCAACTACTCCTTGCGTTGAATGGTCCACACGGAATGTACAGATGCACGTGAATGCTTTGGTTTCAATCCTCCCTAGCATAAATTAGTAGGAATATTGTAGTGCATGAGTAGGACCTGTCTATCATGGGCAAGTAGGCCTACTGCAGTGTCTGATTTATGACTGAGCGTGAATAGAACATCCCTCATATGGGAAAATAGACTTAATGCAGCGGGTTTGAGTAGGACAATTGTTATATGTGCCAGTATACCTGGAGAGTGCTCCAAGGTTCAACACCCCCGCGGCCTGGTCTATGTTCAGGCCTCGCGGTGGATCAGGGCATGATCATCTAGGCTGTTACTGCTGGCCGCACGCAAACCAACATACGAACCACAGCCCGGCTGGTTAGGTACTGACTTTAAGTACCTGTCCAGCTCCCTCTTGAAGACAGCCAGGCAGTGAAACAGTCTTGGGCCCCTGACACTTATTGTGTTGTCTCTTAGTGTACTCATGGCACCCTTGCTTTTCACTGGGGGCATGTTGCACCGCCTGCCCAGACTTTTCCTTTCGTAACGAGTCCTTTCTGTGTGCAAATTCGGGATTAGTCCCTCTAGGATTCTCCAGGTGTTTATAATCATGTATCCTCGCCTGCTTCCTTTTTTTTATTATGTTCTTATGTCGTGTCGTCATTGCAGGATGGTGGAGATGGGGTGTTTACCCTGGCATCGGGGAGCGCTGCCCCCACCACCCCCCACAACGAGTTTACTCCTTACGGCTATGTCTCCAGACCCGGCTCCACCCCTCTCAGGTAACTAGAGTCCCTCCATCCATTACTACCATCACCAGTTCCACCATCACCAGTTCCACCATCACCATCACTACCATCTCCACCATCACCAGTTCCACCATCACCATCACTACCATCTCCACCATCACCAGTTCCACCATCACCATCACTACCATCTCCACCATCACCATCACCTCACTGTCACCATCACAACCTTTCCACCTCAGTCTTTATTTTTTTTATTTTGTAGCTTCTTGGAATTCAAGCATAAATTATCTGCAGGTGTTTACATATTTAGCATTTACTTTAAGGGTTCCAGTGGCACGTGTTGGTACTCAGCGTTTCCCAGCTACATATGTTAATTATCAGTGTTCCCAGCTGCATGTGTTGCTCCTCAGGGCTTCCAGCTGCATGTGTTGCTCCTCAGGGCTTCCAGCTGCATGTGTTGCTCCTCAGGACTCCCAGCTGCATGTGTTGCTCCTCAGGGCTTCCAGCTGCATGTGTTGCTCCTCAGGGCTTCCAGCTGCATGTGTTGCTCCTCAGGGCTTCCAGCTGTATGTGTTGCTCCTCAGGGCTCCCAGCTGCATGTGTTGCTCCTCAGGACTCCCAGCTGCATGTGTTGCTCCTCAGGGCTTCCAGCTGCACGTGTTGCTCCTCAGGGCTTCCAGTTGCATGTGTTGCTCCTCAGGGCTTCTAGCTGCACGTGTTGCTCCTCAGGGCTTCCAGCTGCACGTGTTGCTCCTCAGGTATTCCAGCTGCATGTGTTGCTCCTCAGGGCTCCCAGTTGCATGTGTTGCTCCTCAGGGCTTCCAGCTGCATGTGTTGCTCCTCAGGACTCCCAGCTGCATGTGTTGCACCTCAGGACTCCCACCTGCATGTGTTGCTCCTCAGGGCTCCCAGCTGCATGTGTTGCTCCTCAGGGCTCCCAGCTGCATGTGTTGCTCCTCAGGGCTTCCAGCTGCACGTGTTGCTCCTCAGGGCTCCCAGCTGCATGTGTTGCTCCTCAGGGCTTCCAGCTGCACGTGTTGCTCCTCAGGTATTCCAGCTGCATGTGTTGCTCCTCAGGGCTCCCAGTTGCATGTGTTGCTCCTCAGGGCTTCCAGCTGCATATGTTGCTCCTCAAGGCTCCCAGCTGCATGTGTTGCTCCTCAGGACTCCCAGCTGCATGTGTTGCTCCTCAGGGCTCCCAGCTGCATGTGTTGCTCCTCATGGCTTCCAGCTGCACGTGTTGCTTCTCAGGGCTCCCAGCTGCATGTGTTGCTCCTCAGGGCTTCCAGCTGCACGTGTTGCTCCTCAGGTATTCCAGCTGCATGTGTTGTTCCTCAGGGCTCCCAGTTGCATGTGTTGCTCCTCAGGGCTTCCAGCTGCATGTGTTGCTCCTCAAGGCTCCCAGCTGCATGTGTTGCTCCTCAGGACTCCCAGCTGCATTTGTTGCTCCTCAGGGCTTCCAGCTGCATGTGTTGCTCCTCAGGGCTCCCAGCTGCATGTGTTGCTCCTCAGGGCTTCTAGCTGCATGTGTTGCTCCTCAGGACTCCCAGCTGCATGTGTTGCACCTCAGGGCTTCCAGCTGCATGTGTTGCTCCTCAGGGCTCCCAGCTGCATCTGTTGCTCCTCGGGGCTTCCAGCTGCATGTGTTGCTCCTCAGGGCTCCCAGCTGCATGTGCTGCTCCTCAGGGCTTCCAGCTGCTTGTGTTGCTCCTCAGGGCTTCTAGCTGTATGTGTTGCTCTTCAGGGCTCCCAGCTGTATGTGTTGCTCCTCAGGGCTTCCAGCTGCATGTGTTGCTCCTCAGGGCTCCCAGCTGCATGTGTTGTTCCTCAGGACTTCCAGCTGCATGTGTTGCTCCTCAGTGCTTCCAGCTGCATGTGTTGCTCCTCAGGGCTTCCAGCTGCATGTGTTGCTCCTCAGGGATTCCAGCTGCATGTGTTGCTCCTCAGGGCTCCCAGTTGCATGTGTTGCTCCTCAGGGCTTCCAGCTGCACGTGTTGCTCCTCAGGGCTTCCAGCTGCTTGTGCTGCTCCTCAGGGCTTCCAGCTGCATGTGTTGGTCCTCAGGGCTTCCAGCTGCATGTGTTGCTCCTCAGGGCTTCCAGCTGCATGTGTTGCTCCTCAGGGCTCCCAGCTGCATGTGTTGCTCCTCAGGACTCCCAGCTGCATGTGCTGCTCCTCAGGACTCCCAGCTGCATGTGTTGCTCCTCAGGGCTCCCAGCTGCATGTGTTGCTCCTCAGGGCTTCCAGCTGCATGTGTTGCTCCTCAGGGTTCCCAGCTGCATGTGCTGCTCCTCAGGGCTCCCAGCTGCATGTGTTGCTCCTCATGGCTTCCAGCTGCATGTGTTGCTCCTCAGGGCTCCCAGCTGCATGTGTTGCTCCTCAGGGCTTCCAGCTGCATGTGTTGCTCCGCAGGGCTTCCAGCTGCATGTGTTGCTCCTCAGGGCTTCCCGCTGCATGTGTTGCTCCTCAGGGCTTCCAGCTGCATGTGTTGCTCATCAGGGCTCACAGCTGCATGTGTTGCTTCTCAGGGCTCCCAGCTACATGTGTTGCTCCTCAGGGCTTGCAGCTGCATGTGTTGCTCCTCAGGGCTTCCAGCTGCATGTGCTGCTCTTCAGGGCTTTCATCTGCATGTGTTGCTCCTCAGGGCTCCCAGCTGCATGTGCTGCTCTTCAGGGCTCCCAGCTGCGCGTGTTGCTCCTCAGATCTTCCAGCTGCATGTGTTTCTCCTCAGGGCTTTCAGCTGCATGTGTTGCTCCCCAGGGCTTCCAGCTGCATGTGTTGCTCCTCAGGGCTTCCAGCTGCACGGGTTGCTTCTCAGGGCTTCCTGCTGAACATGTTGCTCCTCAGGTATTCCAGCTGCATGTGTTGCTCCTCAGGCCTCCCAGTTGCATGTGTTGCTCCTCAGGGCTTCCAGCTGCATGTGTTGCTCCTCAGGGCTCCCATCTGTATGTGTTGCTCCTCAGGGCTTCCAACTGTATGTGTTGCTCCTCAGGGCTTCCAGCTGCATGTGTTGCTCCTCAGGGCTCCCACCTGCATGTGTTGCTCCTCAGGGCTCCCAGTTGCATGTGTTGCTCCTCAAGGCTTCCAGCTGCATGTGTTGCTCCTCAGGGCTCCCAGCTGCATGTGTTGCTCCTCAGGGCTTCCAGCTGCATGTGTTGCTCCTCAGGGCTACCAGCAGCATGTGTTGCTCCTCAGGGATTCCAGCTGCATGTGTTGCTCCTCATGGTTCCCAGCTGCATGTGCTGCTCCTCAGGGCTTCCAGCTGCATGTGTTGTTCCTCAGGGCTTCCAGCTACATGTGTTGCTCCTCAGGGCTTCCAGCTGCATGTGTTGCTCCTCAAGGTTTCCAGCTGCATGTGTTGCTCTTCAGGGCTTCCAACTGCATGTGTTGCTCCTCGGGGCTCCCAGCTACACGTGTTGCTCCTCAGGGCTTCCAGCTGCATGTGTTGCTCCTCAGGGCTTCCAGCTGCATGTGTTGCTCCTCAGGGCTCCCAGCTGCATGTGTTGCTCGTCAGGGATTCCAGCTGCATGTGTTACCCCTAAGGGCTTCCAGCTGCATATGTTGCTCCTCAGGGTTCCCAGCTGCACGTGTTGCTCCTCAGGGCTTCCAGTTGCATGTGTTGCTCCTCAGGTCTCCCAGCTGCACGTGTTGCTCCTCAGGGCTTCCAGTTTCACGTGTTATTCCTCAGGACTCCCAGCTGCATGTGTTGCTCCTCAGGGCTTCCAGCTGCATGTATTGCTCCTCAGGGCTCCCAGTTGCGTGTGTTGCTCCTCAGGGCTTCCAGCTGCACATGTTGCTCCTCAGGGCTTCCAGCTGCATGTGCTGCTCCTCAGGACTTCCAGCTGCATGTGTTGTTCCTCAGGGCTCCCAGCTGCATGTGTTGCTCCTCAGGGCTTCCTGCTGCATGTGTTGCTCCTCAGGGCTCCCAGCTGCATGTGTTGCTCCTCAGGACTCCCAGCTGCATGTGTTGCTCCTCAGGGCTCCCAGTTGCATGTGTTGCTCCTCAGGGCTTGCAGCTGCACATGTTGCTCCTCAGGGCTTCCAGCTGCATGTGTTGCTCCTCAGGGCTCCCAGCTGCATGTGTTGCTCCTCAGGGCTCCCAGCTGCATGTGTTGCTCCTCAGGACTCCCAGCTGCATGTGTTGCTCCTCAGGGCTCCCAGTTGCGTGTGTTGCTCCTCAGGGCTTGCAGCTGCACATGTTGCTCCTCAGGACTTCCAGCTACATGTGTTGCTCCTCAGGGCTCCCAGCTGCATGTGTTGCTCGTCAGGGCTTCCAGCTGGATGTGTTGCTCCTCAGGGCTCCCAGCTGCATGTGTTGCTCCTCAGGACTCCCAGCTGCATATGTTGCTCCTCAGGGCTCCCAGCTGCATATGTTGCTCCTCAGGGCTTCCAGCTGCATGTGTTGCTCCCGAGGGCTTCCAGCTGCATGTGCTGCTCCTCAGGGCTTCCAGCTGCACGTGTTGCTTCTCAGGGCTTCCAGCTGCATGTGTTGCTCCTCAGGACTCCCAGCTGCATGTGTTGCTCCTCAGGGCTCCCAGCTGCATGTGTTGCTCATCAGGGCTACCAGCTGCATGTGTTGCTCCTCAGGGCTACCAGCTGTATGTGTTGCTCCACAGGGCTCACAGCTGCATATGTTGCTCCTCAGGGCTACCAGCTGCATGTGTTGCTTCTCTGGGCTACCAGCTGCACGTGTTGCTCGAAGGAAGTGCCAGTAGCCCAGTGCTCTGCCTCGAGGCTTCTAAATACCCTTGGCCAGATAAACACTCAGATGCACACTCCTCTTGTCGCCACGACCAAGAATAAAATGAGCCTTGGCGAGTCCACTCCCTGGACGCATTATGTACCTCTGTGATCCCTTGACTACCACCCACAGAATAGGCGTTAAACTAACTAAGAAAGCACTTAACTACTTTGATAGTGGTCACGTGTGGTCATACCTGCCTAAGCTCTTTGGAGTTAGCGTGGGCTGTTATCAAGCACCATGGCTTGTTGTAGTGCTTTAGAATCTCAGGTTCAAGTGTTGAAGAAGGAGAT